AGTTTGTTGCATGTATCAGAATGATATATGCAAAACCCATGGCTTATGATTTGGTAAAAAGAGCAACTCTGAAACTTTTAATTGTCTTGGAGGTACTCATCAGGGAGCTCCACTATCCCCACTATTGTCTCCCATAGCAATACAGACCCTAGGATGAGGTTATCTGAATGAGTTCTCATTAAAGGGGTGAAAAATGGGGAAGGAAAAGATTGACTCTATGAGACTCTGTGGAAACTTTTAGGAATTTAGTAGAACTATTCAAAATGACTCCTCCCTTCCTTTGGAAACAATGGGAGGTATGTTTTAGGATTAGACCTGTTCCTGAACTGGTCAAAATCTGTGCCTAGTCCTCCAATTAGTAGTCCTAACAGTCCCCCTTTCAGCTCTGCTGATGTCAGAGCTCTGACATTGATTGGGCCAGAGGATAAGAGATTTCTGAAGTGGCAATAAAGGAGTAATCTGACACCAGATCTCTCTCTCTCTCTCTCTCTCTCTCTCTCTCTCTCTCTCTCTCTGATGTACATTCATTACTCATCATTCATCATTGTATTTGTATGCTGTCTTTCTATAGTTAAAACCATGTTCAGGGCGGCTTACAACATAAAGAATACATAATTATAAACTTAACAGAAGTAATCATAAACATATCAAAAAGTATACAACCAAACTGAACAATTTCCACATAAATCATAATAAGATATAAAAATAAAGATGCAAAAAATTAGTATCAGTAATAGCAACAATCTTTGGTGATCACTTGTAGCCGAGTAAGATTGTCTTTCATAAACATGCTTTTAACAATGAGTCCGTAAGTGACTGTGGAGGCCAATTCTGGATCCACACGTCCTTCCACAGTGGGGACATTGGTTTCTGGGTGGGAGTTGATCACGGTGTGGATATAGCAACAATGCCACCCTGCAAACTCCCTAAACATCACCTCAGTAGCCTCAGCTTTTGTAGCTGGAGTCAGTCAGAAACTCCGCCCTCCCAGTCCAGGAGAAAAAAGGCATGCGAGGCCTTCCAGGAATTACAGACAAGATTGTTTCTGATGTAGGAGCGCTCTCTCTCTCTTTCTGACTATCTGGGAGCAATAAAATAGCCTATCATTTATGCTTAAAATCAGCCTTGGCACAAGATGGATTGGGGCTTCTTTTTAAGTATGATGTATGATTTACCTGTCTTTTCCCCCCATCCTTAACTAATGGCAGCTTGAGGAGAAAATTTAATTTCCTAAAAAATAAACAAACAAAAAAACACAAAATCTGTATGGAAATTCTTAATTTGAATGAGGATTAAAAACTTGCATTTCTTTAAAAGCATGAGTTTTAAAGCTTGATTTTTGAGCCAAGAACTGTGCCAGAGCATTTGGAAAGTGTGAAGGCTGGTGGATAACTGAGTTCCACCCTGCACGTTAGTCCAGAAGGTGTGGATCGGTTCAGTTCATAACTGGAATGTACCAAGATCGAATTCCTCATGCATTCTTATTCTCTCCTTGTGCGTTAAATAGGCAAGAATTCTAAAAGAAGAAGCCAATGCGCCAAACAGCTTTTCCATGCAGTACTTAACTTTTATTTTGTGTCAAAAGTGTGCCAGGTGCTTTTCGTAACCTACTGCGTTGAATTCTTCTTGTGCGTCTTATTGAAAGATGTGTGATTCTTTCTTTTTTAAAAAAGAAGAAGAAGAAGGAAACTAGCGATATTATTGCATTGAGCTTTTGCAAAGTGAAGACTGTCACTCTGAGCCGCTTTTCAGTTGACACATCTGCATGGCCAGTGATGAATTAAGAAATGACGTAATGCTTGCTTAGTACATAGCTGATGCCCATATTGGAAGTGGCTGGATACAGTTCAGGCAAAGGGAGTTTGGTTGCTGGGAAAGCCATTCCCTCTACCCCACTCCATGATTGCATGAAGCTGCAAGGGAAATTACAGGCAGGGAGAACAACCAGCATTCCACATCTCATTTCTCCCTTGAAGAACACGTCTGCACGCACAAGACCACACACAAGAGTGCGTGTACAGACTAGCTGTTCCCTAGTGGTATTGCCATACTCATTGCTCTGCCTGTTTTCAACCAGGACTACTCATGCTTCGTAGTGTTTTAGGAAGGCAGCTGTGCAACAGAGCGAATACTGCTTACAGCTGGGAAAATAAAGCAAGCAAATGCTGGACTATAGCTGGGGGAATGTGAGCTTCAAAATCAACTGCTGCTCCAACTTCGGTCCCATTTGGGCTTGCAGAGACAGGCAGCGAAGAGAGGTGGGCCCCTCCTTCCCATGAGAGAAGATCTTCCTATTGGGATACCTTTTGTTGTTGTTGTTTAGTCGTTTAGTCGTGTCCGACTCTTCGTGACCCTATGGACCAGAGCACGCCAGGCACTCCTGTCTTGCACTGCCTCCCGCAGTTTGGTCAGACTCATGCTGGTAGCTTTGAGAACACTGTCCAACCATCTCTTCCTCTGCCGTCCCATTCTCCTTGTGCCCTCCATCTTTCCCAACATCAGGGTCTTTTCCAGGGAGTCTTCTCTTCTCATGAGGTGGCCAAAGTATTGGAGCCTCATCTTCAGGATCTGTCCTTCCAGTGAGCACTCAGGGCTGATTTCCTTAAGAATGGATAGGTTTGATCTTCTTGCCGTCCATGGGACTCTCAAGAGTCTCCTCCAGCACCATAATTCAAAAGCATAAATTCTTCGGCGATCAGCCTTCTTTATGGTTGGATACCTTTAGCCATGGTGTATTAGTGAAAAAACACTCAGTAATATAAAAACTTAACAAATTTGAGGTTTTTTTTAATAATAGTTATAAGATGGGTCTCATCAAAAGATGGTAGCCTTAATGGTTAAATCTGGTGTGTTTAGAATACAGTTTAAAGCCCCAAGTGATAGTATTCAAAAATAATAAGAAATTGGGACTTATTTTACTGTCATGGTTATTCTCTGAATACCAGAACATCTAGCTGGCATGAATATGATCACTTCTGCCTGAACATTTGCTGGCTTCTAGCACACTTTTTTTTTAGCTTGCTGTATGGCATTTCCAGGCTGAGTCTGCAGACAGGTGCCTGTTTCTAGAAGCTTTGATCGGCTGCAGAGAAGGGGTGTTTGCCATTCCTGCCACCTCCTGCCTTGTTGGACTCGTCACCCACTCGGCTCTTGTATCTCCTGTGGAGCAAAACTCAAATTCTGCTCATTGCGGAGCTTTGAAAGTGACAGATACCAGCCAGTTTGCTTCCAGGTCCAATTCAGAGTGCTTGTTTTGACCTTTATAGTCCTAAATAGCTTGGGATCTTGATTATCTTAGGCAGTATGTTTACTCCCATGCAGACTCTCCCTGCAGGATTTAAGATCTTTTCTGGCAATTCTGCTCCAGGCTCCATTTTATGTAATGACCAGATTAGGCTCTACTGGGAGCCATGCCTTTTCTATGGTCATCTCATGCTCTGGAATAAGCTTCGTTCAGTTTCTGCCTTGTTGTCTTTTCGGAGACACCTGAAATCTGTGTGTTCTTTTCTTTCATATTTTTATTTTGGATGCCATTTCTCCCTAGTTCTGTAGACTGTGGTGATTCTCCTGCTGTTTTGTTGATTGATTGATTGATTGATTGACTTGATTTTTTTTATTTGAATGCTGTTTTTACTGCTTTACTGTGAAATTATATGAATAGTACTGTAAAATAATTTAAATAAAAATAAATAAAATATTTCCTGGTTGAGATCTGGTAGCCATGCTTGGAAATCTCTGTGAAGAGTTACACTACAAAGAAGAGGGAAAAGAGAAATATATGAGGCCTTTCCCAGCACACAGTCACCCTGATGGGCGATTGAAACTATATATTTTTATAAGCCTTTGAAAGTTGAGTTTTTGTTCTTTTGTACAAGAACTATTAAAATAAGTGGCCTTATATTCATAGGTGGCACATATCAATTTTCTAATATCATTGTTTCATATGAACGCTTGCCTCTTCTCATAATAATGAAGCATTAATTTTTATTCACAGATGATGCTGATGATATTCTTATCCAGAATCATGTAATAAAAAAAATAAATCTAAATGTCATTTAACTCAGTGTACATCTTTCCCCCAGTGTATGAGGAAATGAACTCAGCCATTTCAAGAACAGGAAGAAACATGTATCATGAGATCTAATAGATCATCCAAATTAGTCCCAAATTGTCTTTCAGAAATAGATTTGGAGAGCTTTTTGTTCAGAGCAAGTTTAGCATCACAAAACTCGCAACGGAACATGGAATAAATAAAGCTTCACACATCTCCCCCACCCCTTGAAATATGCTGCTTTCAAACCAATAAGCAATAATTAATGTGAATATTCTCACCTGATTGTGCTTTTCTGTGTTTTAAAAGATCAAGGTAGTATTAATATGTAGTTAGGACAGCTGTGGCATGTGAAATCGGGGTGCTGCAATGGTGCTGCCCTCTTAGCTGCAGAAATGTTGACACTTAACAGGACTGGGAAGGGTGCCAGGTGAGACCAGGTGATTCTCTCATTGTTGCCCCTCCACAATCGTTGTAACTGAGAGGGCAGTGATATAGTTACACCCACCTTACATATTGCAGCTGAGTTAGAGTGTTGAACTAGGGTTCAAATCCCCACTTAGCCTAAAAGCTCACTGGGTGACCTTGGGAAAGTGACTGGAGAACAGCATTGCAAAATTCAGAGAAGTGTAATTTTGAAGGATTCCTATGTTCAGTTCATGTATTGTTCAGACAAGTGTGCATTAGGCAGGTTTACCTTTAAAGGAGCACTCAATTGCATTTGTCCCTCATCCCTATGCCCTCCCAAACATGATTTGCATATTTTTTTTCAAATAAAAAACCCCAGAGAACTACAGGATTAGGATAGTAAGTTCTCAACAACCTGTATGGAAACCACAGCCTAAAATGTGTCTTGTAAATATTTTAAACAAACAAACACAACTTAATCACAATATAATGGCATTTTAAAAATCTATTAACACCCCCACATGTTCATATTTTATTATAGGTTGATGCCTTGAGATTACGTTTAGAAGAAAAAGAAAGTTTTCTTAATAAAAAAACCAAACAACTGCAAGACCTCACAGAAGAAAAGGGAACTCTGGCTGGAGAAATTCGAGATATGAAAGACATGTTAGAAGTCAAAGAAAGAAAAATCAATGTTCTTCAAAAAAAGGTAAGTGGCCTGACAAGGCCCATAAGGCAATCCAAGAAATATTTTTGATGGAGATGACAAGATCAGGGGGAAAGTAAGTGGAAGCACGGGAAGGCGAAAGTGTTATAAGTCAAAATGCAGTGACCACAATAAAAAACAACAACAAAATTTTGGAAGTGAGAAGGAGAGAATCTACATTTTTATAAGCTGATTTCCCCTCTTACTTTTTCTTTGTAGTTCATCCATACTTCTTACACTTGCACGTTTTGAGTCAAACCTACGATCTCAGATACAAGTCATTGCAGTTCTTTTGAGTTCATCTTTCTCCCAAATGAAAGTTTTCCCAAAACAGTCTGTTGCTTCAGTTTGGTGACAGTACCTCTTCTGCTTTTATTAGCAAAGCAATTTAGGAGAAAGATGAAGATTTGCCCCCTTCCATCCCCCACCCCAAATATTTTTCTACTTCTGCAACCATTGTGGTGCCTTTGAGCATGTGGTGTATCCTGTTGTTTCTTAATAGCTCCATTTTGACTACAACATAATCATTATAATTTAACAATTGAATTTGCTATTAGTTTAACAATTTAGTTTAACAGTTAAATTTGTATAATACAAAATGCATAATAAAACAAAAACAAACCAATAACCTCCCTACCACAAACACACGTAAAGAGCCACAGAATGTTCATTATTCTGGTTGAAGAGAAAAGTTTTCGCCTGGTGCCTAAAGATATGCAATGAAGGCACCAGACGAACCTCCATGGGGAGAGCATTCCACAAATGGAGAGCAGAAAAGGCCCATTCTCTTGTTGCCACCCTCCTCTCGTGGAGGAGGCACATGAAGAAGGGCCTCAGATTATGCATGCAGAGTCTGGGTTGGTTCACATGGGGGGAGGCGGTCTTTGAGGTATTGTGGTCCTGAGCCATTTAAGGATTTATGGGTCAAAACCAGCACTTTGAATTGGGCCAAGAAACTAATTGGCAGCCAGTGCAGTAGGACCAGGGTCAGTTTAATATGCTCAAACTCTCTTGCCCAAGTGAGCAACCTGGCCACCGAATTCTGTGCCAGCTGAAGTTTCCAAACCATCTTCAGAGGAAGAAGAAGAAGAGTTTGGACTTGATATCCCGCCTTTTATTCCTCTTAAGGAGTTTCAAAGCGGCTAACAATCTCCTTTCCCTTCCTCCCCCACAAAAAACACTCTGTGAGGTGAGTGGGGCTGAGAGACTTCAAAGAAGTGTGACTGGCCCAAGGTCACCCAGCAGCTGCATGTGGAGGAGCGGGGAAGCGAACCTGGTTCCCCAGATTACGAGACTACCGCTCTTTTTTTTTTTTAAAGATATTTGTTAAGATTTTCAAAGTATTACAAAATGAAAAAAGAAAAAAGAAAAATACAAAATAAAAATAGTTAAAAACAATTCCATCTTTCCATTACTTATCTTTCATTTGCTTGTTTCCCGGACCTCCTCACACCTCCCTTTTTTGTATTCCAATTCAATTTGTTAATTCAGCAAATCCTTTCCCTCTTTGTTTATCCTAATCTTTAATCTTAAAATATTTTAACCTTAAATTTTAACTTATTAATAATCCATTTTTTCATATTCCTTATTGCATTATAGCTAAAAACCACTTAACTTCTTATCCAACATCATTCTAACATTCATTAATTTTACAGTATTTCTGTAGGTAGACTTTAAACTTTTTCCAGTCTTCTTCCACCACGAGACTACCGCTCTTAACCACTATACCACACTGGCTCTCACACTAGGGAACAAATAGAGTCCCACTTCCATGTTATAATTTGTCTCAAACTGAAATCCAGCATATTCTTGTGTGTGTTTTCTGTGATCAAGAAATTGTTGGGAAATGCATTGCTCAAACAAATTATAGGTGTATATGTTTAAGATGGGAGGCTAAAAACTTGCTTACTTTTCAGGAAAGATTTTCATAATAGCACACACAAGCCCCCCCCCTTTTTTTTACTCACATGTTCAAACAGATGTTCCCTGCAAATCTAGTGCTTTAAATGGTATAGTAAGAATAAAAGATCAGAAAAAATGTTATTTGGAGGGAAAACTCCCAGGTTATGACTATAGTTCCCTATGTGGCCTTCAGGAGTACATGATTTATTTTCAACAGATGGTGTGATAAATTCATTCACAGATGATTTATCTGAAGAAAGTTTTAACTGAAACATTATCCTCTTTCTCCTCCAATTGTTTAAGTAAATTCATATCATTATACTATAAAGAAAACGTTCACTGTTTATTTTCCTTAGGTCTAGTGTGCAGTCCCCAAGTTAGACATTCAGTAGTTTTCCATTTAAAACTGCAGTCTTCTTTCTCTTTTTTTTAAAAGCAGCATTAAAAAATTGGTCTCCTTACTGAGTCCATCAGCATTTAGACTGATTATAGAACATGCCTTCCTTTTTAAAAGCTGTTTCCTCTTGGCTTTATCCAGAGAGCTGTCTCTCCCTTCCCCCAGCACCCAGTAAATTATGCTGTCCTTCGTAATTTCATATAGTGGCACAGAGGCTTCCTTGTCTATTTAATGTTATGACATGCATTTTTTTGAAAATCTGCTGTATCCCACAGTCCTGATCATAGAAGGACTTCTGTGGCCTCTGTGCCATTTTTGGAGATGCTGAAGATAATTTCTTGCCTTAACCTTCTGATGAACCCTTCCAAATTCTGATCACAACTGACTTTGGCAACTCTCTCTCTCGATTTTTATTGAGAAGCTAACTTCTGAATAATGCTAAACCAGGGGCCATAGGTCAGTGGTGGAACACCTGCTTCGCTGAAGAGCAGCCTAGGATCTCCAGTTAAAAGATCAGGGAGCAGATAATGGGGAGGGCCTCTCCGTCTGAGGGAAAGCTACTGCCAATCAAAGGGATGCGGGTGGCGCTGTGGTCTAAACCACTGAGCCTCTTGGGCTTGTCGATCAGAAGGTCGGCGGTTCGAATCCCTGTGATGGGGTGAGCTCCTGTTGCTCAGTCCCAGCTCCTGCCAACCTAGCAGTTCGAAAACACACCAAAAAAGTGCTAGTAGATAAATAGGTACTGCTCTGGCAGGAAGGAAAATGGTGTTTCCGTGTGCTGCTCTGGTTTCGGTGTTCCGTTGCGCCAGAAGCAGCTTAGTCATGCTAGCCACATGACCCGGAAAAACTGTCTGTGGACAAATGCCGGCTCCCTTGGCCTGCAAAGCGAGATGAACGCCACAACCCCAGAGTCATCTGCAACTGGACTTAACTGTCAGGGGTCCTTTACCCCCCCTTTTTTTACTGCCAATCAGAGTTGATGATGTTGGACTAGATGGGCTAGTGGCCTCCCTAGTGCATTCACGTGCCTCATCATCTTAAAGAAACCCCTGCAAACCATGGGTTACAGACGCCGCTAACCCAGAAATAGTGCTTCAGGTTAAGAACTTTGCTTCAGGATGAGAACAGATGTTGTGCTCCGGCGGCGCGGCAGCAGCAAGAGGCTCCATTAGCTAAAGTGGTGCTTCAGGTTAAGAACAGTTTCAGGTTAAGTATGGACCTCCAGAATGAATTAAGTACTTAACCCGAGGTACCACTGTATTTCTTTCCAACTTTTAACCTTCTTTCTTTATATGCTTCTGTTGATGCCATGGTGTCATGTAGCACCTTTCTGAATGCTTCCTTTCTCCCAGTTGGGTAGAGATCTAGCAGGATTGCTTCAATGACAGAAGGAAAAATCCCTGTCCAGTAGTAAAGAGGGCTTCCAAGACAGTTTTGACCACAGAGTCATTCATGCCAACAGAGGCCTATCCCCTGTAATGAACAGGAGGCTATCTATCTCAGTTTTCTCTACACTGATTGGCAGCAGCTTTCCAGGATTTCAGACAGTATTCTTTCCCAACTCTACCTGGAAATGCCAGAGATTGAACTGTTAATGCTACAGGTGAAGGATGGAATGTACAATTCTTAGATGGCTTCCCCCCTTGACTGTGTTGCCTCTGAATAGTACAGTGGTACCTCAGGTTAAGTACTTAATTCGTTCCGGAGGTGCGTACTTAACCTGAAACTGTTCTTAACCTGAAGCACCACTTTAGCTAATGGGGCCTCCCGCTGCTGCCGCGCCGCCAGAGCACGATTTCTGTTCTCATCCTGAAGCAAAGTTCTTAACCTGAAGTACTATTTCTGGGTTAGCGGAGTCTGTAACCTGAAGTGTATGTAACCTGAAGCGTATGTAACCTGAGGTACCGCTGTATGTTAATGTCAGAAGTGCAGTTTAATATTCCTTACAGGCGCTTTGGCATCAGCATTTAGTGCTATGACAAAATGGACATGCTGCTTACATGTTTGTGTACAATCTGGCTGCTCTTTCACCTTATGTGTACCAGTTTAGCGTGGAAAAGTATCCTTTCCAGTAGTGGTACCTTTTGTGCTTGCAAACAAGGGAATCTTCTGAAACTTTTTATGATGAGCTTTCTCAAAGGAAGAATTTCCAAAACTGATAACTATATAAGTTTCTTACATTCTTTGCGGATTTATGGACACTATAGCCTTAGTTTTGCCACTGTGTTTTGAAATGAATGTGTACGCAAACATGAATGAAAGTGGAGGATGTTGCTATTAGACTTTTTTTTGAGCATAAGAAATTTGGGGAAATAGCTGGAGGCAGACTTTTGTTTTGTTTTGTAGAGGATAGGAATGTGATAATAAAAAAAGGATTAAAATAGTACTCACTTTCACCTACAAAGCTTTCCACATTAAATTATTATGGTTCCCATACTTAATGGCTAGAGGCTCATAACTAATGAAGTGCTATATGACATATTGCCCTAACCTACAAGCCAATTAGAGTTAGCAGTAGGTGTCATAAAACCATAGCTATAATGTAATGTTTGGAATTGGAATGCTTGGACTGAGCCTTGTATGCTTGGTAGGTACTGCCCTGCTTGGATTAAAACTGAAGGTATGTGGCCCAGAGTCAGTTTGTAAAATTCTATGCCAGAACAACATGTAGTTCTTAAACTTGGATTAAACTGTCAAACAATTT